CCATCCGGGGCCTTGCTCAGCAACGACTGGCAGGATGGCTCACCCCAGTTTCCCATGCTGTCTGCCCGGCTCTGTCTTCACTTCTGTTCTGGCCTCCCAACCTCTCTTTCCACCCTGCCTGTGTCAGATGCCAAACAAATAAATAGGCGTGGTGGTGCACACTGTAATCTCAGCACTCAGGAGACTGAGATAGGAGGATCACCAAGAGTTTGAGGTCAGCCTGGGCTACATAGTGAGTTCAAAGCTAGCCTGAGCTACACAGTGAGACTCTGTCTCAAAAAAGCAAAAAAAAAAAAAAAAAAGTATCAAACAAGTCCCTTAAGAAACTGAGCCACATCTATCAGAAATGCCCTTGGGTGACAGACAGAAATGGCCTTCTCTCCTGGAGGAAGCCTGTGTCACCTGCACCCAATCCAGGCCACACCTGAGAAACTACAAGTCAGACCAGCTGTGCTGGTGGGGCAGTGCCCTGAGGAGGCCAAGGCAGCCCAGGGACTATGGCTCAGGGGCTGGGCCTAGGGCCACATGTATGTCCCCTCCTCCCACATAGGTCTGGAGACCTTAGGTGACCTCGGGAATTCCACATCCCACATCCTGGCTCCTGGGGATCCTGAAGACAGCTTTAAGAAAATGGCCCCAGATTCTTAGGCAAACCCAAGACGTGCTCTAGGTACTGGGTAAACCAGGGAGCAGTCACCTCCAGGGCTCCAGAAATCCACAGCCCAGTGCCATCCCTGACCACAAGCCAATGGCCGTGTCCAGCCCTGGGCCTGCACAAGGCCAGGGGCAGCAGGACCCCGCCAGAGGGCCAGCGAGGGACTGGCAGTCACGAGAGCACGCTGCCACCACCTGCCTGCAGAGCTAACGGCTCCACGCTGACCTGGACATCCCGGCCCACACCTGCGCCCAGCTTAGGATTTAACTGCAGGCCTGTGGTTCCTGAGGAGCACACGGGGAGCTGCGGTGTGAGTTTACCGGCATCGGGAAAGAGAAACACGAACCAGTGGCCAGTAATTTTCCCATGTAAAGGAACTTGCACTGCCACTGAGCCCCAGCAGTCCTCAGATAGGCTTGGGGACCTCCTCCCTTCCATTGCGTGTCCATTATTTTGTCAGACTGAGCTTCAACATAGGATCTTTTGTAGGGGAAACAAAAAGGAATATCACAGCATGAGCAGGGTTCGTGCACAGCAGGATCATCCGATATTCGTAGTTCTTGGTTAGTTTTAAATTCATGTTATACTTTAGCCTATAAAGAATCCACATTACATTGTTAAAATATACATCTTTTCACAGAATATTTCACTCCTGTTTCTGGTCGCAGAAAACGTGCCTTTCTCAGTTTATATTTGCTATGTAGAAGAAAAGAGGAAGTTAAAGCTGACATATTCTTTTTTTAAAAAAAGAAAGTTTCAGCCAATCCAGGGCTCGACCTATGCTGCATCAACTCATGCGACAGCAGCCCAGCGATGTGTTGAAGAGTAGCATAAGTTTATTTAGAAAAGCCATCAGGCTAGAGACCATAAATATTAGCTATGTATACAAGTGAAAAATACTGATATTATCACAGTTTAAAGATTTTTCCCTCGATGTCTACACAGAGGCCTAGGAGGAGTTGCATCACAGTGGCAAGCAGAGGCCGGGTAGGGTGGAGCCTGCCTGTCATCCCTGCACTCGGGAGGCTGAGGCAGGAGAATCATCAAGAGTTCAGGACCATCCTGAACTACATAGCAAGACCCTATCTCAGGAAACAAAAAGGGGGGGGGCAAGGAGTATCTCTGAGGGAGAGACTTCAGACAGCTTTGGCCATGGCGCCTTGCTTTTTGCACGTCTAGCATTTTCATTTCCTCCGGTGAGTATAGTGTGTGTGTGTGTGTGTGTGTGTGTGTGTGTGTGTGTGTGAGATAAATACGTAACCTAAGTTAGGCAGAGGTGGAATTCAGTGGCACAGTGTTGGCCTGGCAGGCCGAGGCCCAGGCTCTGTCCCCCTAAGCTCAGCAAGTCTCCCCCAGAGGCAGGGGCAGGCGGGTGCTTGTCCCAGCCTGGCCTGTGGTCTGAGCCCCAGTTGATCAGAAAGCTGGGTGAGGCTGCAGACTGCCAGTGCCTAGGGCTGTGACCTCCCACAGGTCCTCAGCTTGGTTGGTAACAGGAGTCCCCCCAGCAGCACTGGGGTCTGAGCCGGGCTCCCCAAGGGCCCAGCACAGGCAGCCTCCAGCAGGCCACGCAGTGCCAGCCCACAGCGCAGCCCAGACCCGAGGACTGGTCCCCCAACAACCAGAAGAGGCCTGAACAAAGCCTTGCTTTCTCTTCCTCTCCACCAAAGGCAGGACCGAAGCACAGCCCAGGGGACCCACGGGAGGGTGAGGGCAGCCCAGGGAAATGCACCCTGTGTCCCAGGGCTACACGCCATGTGCTGGACTCCTGCTTGTCCAGGGATGAGAGTTCAGCCTCTCAGCACTGCCACAGCTGCCAGCCCGGCCTTCGCCAGGAAGCAGGGTGACTAAGTGTGAGTGAGGGCTTGCCAGAGGACGACACCAGCCAGAAGGCCTTGGGCAGGAAGCTCCGAAAGGGCCACCTGCAGACACAGTTTGTGCCCAGAGGCTCAGAGGGCTGGAGGCGGTGCTCCACTGTCGGCAACAGTGACACTGCCAGTGTCCAGGGTACTCTCATGCTTGGCTCCATAACTAAGAGAAACAAAAACTGGGAGGAGCCAGGCAGACGATGTGACCACACACTTAAACCACGGGGCCACCCCAGCCATGAGACACAGGGATGCCCCAGAAAGTTCAACATGCAGCCCAACTGCAAAAGCTTCCACAGCTATTACAAGCCAAAATGCGCTACGATAACATCTTCTTTCTCAAACTTACAATTATCTCACATATCCAAAGATGTAAATAATCCTCTTAATGTCCTTCTCAGAGGAAATAATTATGTTATTGGACTAATTGCACAGCTGAGTGCGCTCTGGGTCAGAGGCGAAGCAGCTCTCCCTGCTGGCCTGGCGTCCGCCCCCATGGGGCAGTCAGGGCTGGGAGATCCTCAGTCCCCGCAAACTGGAGTGCCGGGCACCCTGATGCTGCAAGAGAGATGGTGTGTGCTGCACCGGGAGACACAGGGACGCAGTCACAAATGCAGAAGTGCTAAATGTCAGGCCTTTTGTGGCAAGAGCTCCTAGTTCCTTTTCATAGTTAAAACAAAAGTAAAAGCCCCGAGGCCTCTCTCCTTCCCCTTCCTCTTACTTTGCCAACACAGAAGAAGTGCAGTCCCCTCTTGCATGACTGACAGGTCACCACAGGATGGGCCGCCACTCCCTAACAAGCACTGTCTCTCCCACCCCTGCCACCTTTAGCAGCACAGAAAATGTCTGACAGTCACCTCTTCAGCCACACTTGAACACAAACCACGACAACATGCAATTCAGGTTATCAGCAGCAAGCATGTGGCCTCAAACCGAAACTCCAAGACCCTTTCCTTGCAAAAGTCAAAGTTGAACAAGGCGTGGTGGCACATACCTGTCATCCCAGCACTTGGGAATCTGAGGCAGGCAGAGCGCCCTGAGGTCGAGGCCTGGGCTATGCAGTGAGACACTGTCTCAGAAATCAACAACCACCAAAAGCTCAGGATTCAACTCATGCACTGGAGAGTGTAACAGGTAAGGAAGGGATGAAGAGGGAGCAGGCTCTCCCCGCAGCTCCTTGGTGGGAATTCCAAGCAGGCCATCCAACTCACAATGGCAGGCCCGTTCTCCTAGAGGAGCCAAGGGTGCATGGGTATGACTAAGAGCCAACTTCGAAGAAGTGAGATTCAAACAGGAGAGAGACTGCGTAAGGACAGACACGCTTCTGGGCCCAGAGAAACCCAGAGGCCGGCTGGGCTGAGCACTCTCTACTCCAAATCCTTGGGCTCTTCTGTCCCAGGAGCAGGGACCCCAGGAAGGCTGCACCCCTCTTTCTTTTTTTCTTTCTTTCCATATCAACACCTGTTTGCTGGGAAGGAAGTGGTGTCCAGAAACATTCGAGGAGGCAGTGGTAAGAGGAGCCCTGAACACAGAGAGTCTCGATTTAGGGCCAGGCGTCTTCCTGGAGCCCGTTGGACAGATCCAAGGGGACATGAGGGCAGAAAGGACAGAGGCCCCGGAGACAGGAGTGGGCTCCCCAGGAAGAGCCCTCCCTCCCGCCACGGCTTCCTTCAGCGCTAGGGACTCAGCCGGCCTTCAGCTCGCAGCTCCTTCCTGAGCAGCGGCAGCACCCTTTAGAGCCATTTTCTGAACTTTGCAGATTTAGGAAGTGACAGCCGAGGGCGTGGTGTGTCACCAGCCAAGACAACGGCCAGTGTGCCCTGGGACTGCAGGGACTCATAGGAGAAAGCGCCCAATGCTGACGAACCCCCAGACACAAGGGACCCTGACACCTGCCCTCAGCCTTCAAGGGTCCGAACCCTGGCGCCAGCCGGTCTGTGACTGCCTGGGTCTTGCTGGTTTCATCCCGTGGCTTTTGGTCTCCAAACACAAAGCCTGTCCGAACCGGGGTCCACAGGGCAAGCATCGGCTTCGGCAGGGTCTTTGCCGGCTGCCCTGGCACCAACGGCCCAGGACAAGGCCACGCTGCCTCCAAGTTAGGCGCTGACACCAGCTGTCAGCACCTTTGGGCCGGGCGTAAGGGTCCAGGCCGGTCCTGCCTGTCGGACCCCACGCAGGCTCGCTTCGCTGTCCACGGACACGCGTGGCGGGACCGCACTCCCTTTTCCTGGTCACCAACTTGGTGTCGCGTCCCAGGAGCTGTGGTCCGGGGCAAAGGAGATCCGGACCCGAGCGAGGACAGCGACGCGGCGGGGACCCGGAGGCACCAAGGGAGGGATCGGCGGGGCCTGGGCCCCCGGAGGAAGTCGGGGTGTCCGGTGGGGGTCCCGGCCTCCGCCCGCCCGCAGCGCCCGGCACGGCGCCCGCGCAGCACACGCCCCGCATCCGCGCCCCGCGCCCGCGCCCGCGCCCGCGCCCACCTGGTCCGCCAGCTTGAGCACCGCCATCCCGGCGGCTCGCGAGTCCGCGAGGCGGAAGGCCCCGCCGCGGGTTGACAGCCTCCCGGCCCCGCCCGCCCGCGACAGGAAGTGCGCGACACCGCTCGGCGCGACGCCGCCTGCCGGACACGCGGGGCACCGCGGGGAGCGCGCTCGGCCCGGGTGGAGGTGCCCGCCGCGTCCGGGGCCCACGGCGCCGCCTGCTGAGATGCAGCCCCAGGTCCGAGCCGACGCGAATTCATCCGGCAACCGCGGGGCCCGGCGTGCAGCGGGAGGGGCGCGGGCAGGAGGCGGCGCGGTGGGTGAGCAGGGACCCCGAGGGGCTCTCCGCGCAGCAGGGCAGGGCAGGGGCCCGGGCCACATCTCTCGCCCGCGCGAGGGCACCGGGGGCCGCGGCTGCAGTGGGTGTGTGGGGAAACTGAGGCAGCCGACTGGGCGCCCGAAGGACCTGGCCCTGCTGTCCCTGGGCGACTGAGTCTGCGCCCTTGAGGGTGCCGGCTGTGCTGTCTGGTTGCGCACAGGGTCCCTCCTCCCATAAAACCCTTCTGGCCACTGCCTCTCCCCACCCCCTCCCCACCCACAGCGAAATCATCGGCAATGTCACCACTAGTCCACATTTGGAAAAGTCAGCATGGTGCCCCAGATATTGACAGGAGAAAGTGGAGTGGAAAGTGCCTCAGGGGCTGGACGAGGGCCACCGAGCCCCGAGCTGCAGTGCAGAGCAGAGCCGGAGGGACCCTGCGGAGCTCAAGTCCTTAATAGGATAAAGTAACTTCCCGCAAGGCTGGCATTTGGTCGGTGAATGAGTCCCGCAGGGCCCTGGCCACCAACACATAGGATGTGGTGGACACAGTCAAGTCCACAGACTGGGGGAACACAGACACTTCTGGCTGGACCCCACCTCCGCAGCCAAGGACCTTGGGGTGCAGGAGTCGCCTGTTGCAGACAGGGTAGACACATCTGCTCCAATGGGCAGCTGAAGCTAAAGCCTTAGGCGTTCGGCATGGCCTTGGTGGCCCTAGGGAATATGGAGAGGGATGACTTCTGAAGTGTCCCTGATGCACTATCAGGCAGAACTCGAGTTCTGCCACCAGGAACCTTACTTGAGCCTTTAAAATAAAATCGTCTCCACACCCAGTTTCCATGCTAAGCCAGGTACAGCAGATGGACAGAAATCTGTGTTTGAATCCTCATCCTGGCCTCTCCAGAGAGAACCCAAGGTGGCTTTGTGGGTGACCTAGAATTAGGAAAAGGAAGTGCCCAGATATTTCAGGGCTCATTAGACAGTTTCTGGAACCGAGCTAATTGCTGAGGACTCAGAGTGTCAGTGGAACCACCAATGCAGCAGGGACTTCGAGGAGATAAGTGGAGCTTACCCAGGTGGGTGTAGGGAGGTCACTGTAGACCTGGTGATCCCATCCCACTCCCATTTATCTGCCTTCCTGGCCTATGAAAAGATCAGGTGGGTCTTAAAGGACTCGATCTGCACCACTGCGTACCCGGAGCTGCTGGCTGGTGTATGATGAGGCCAGCTGTCCTCGCCTTCAGGTCTGCACCACGGAGACTCCTACTTCTGGCCTTGCTCTCGTCAGCAAACACCTGGCCCACCATGCTGAAGACTCAGAACTCAATGGAGATGGACAGGAAGCCCACACCTTAGATGCCTTCAGCAGGCCTGGGGAACCTGGGTGCGCGATGTTAGAAAATTGTCACTCAGGTTCCCAAGTTCCCAGAGGTCCCTCGACCTCCCGGTGCTGTGAGGTTTCCCCTCAGGTAACAAGTTGCCATCTCTCTTCTCACTGTGGGGTGTGTAGACCCTGTAGGTTGTAGCTTGATCTTCATGTTAGCTCCTACCAAGCAGAAACTGCATCTGCCCATGCTGTTGACAGGGAGCTCTTGGGGAGGCGACAAGGGTTAGAGTCAAGCCTGAAGTGAGGCCATACCTGAGACTGCAATGGCTCTATCACTACAGGGACAGGGACCCCAGGACACACATGTATGCTCCGTCTCCTGCTGCATGATTCTGCTACCTGCTGGGGACCCCAACCACCCCACCTACCCCCACATGGCCATTGTCCTTTGTGGTCCCTAGGCCAGCAATGGCAAACCTTCCAGAGTTTTCAGAAGGGACAAACGGAGGCTGCAGGCTCACTGCCACTTCCCTGGGCCTTGCATTTCCAGAGCCAGTGGCAAAATCACCCTCTTTTCTCTACTTTTGACCTAGTGTGTAGTATTGTTATCAGAAAGAGAAAATGGACTGGGCCTGTCACAGAAAAGAAGGGGATGGGGCCGGGGAAATGGCTCAGTAGAATAAGTCCTTCCCTGGCAAGCGCAAGGACCTGAGTTCAATCCCCGGTTCCGCAAAAAAAAAAAAGAAAGAAAGAAAGAAAGAAAGAAAGAAAGAAAGAAAGAAAGAAAGAAAGAAAGAAAGAAAGAAAGAGAGCATTGCTCACGGTGTCCCTTGGGGACGTGCAAGCCGGGTTCCCTGTGGAGCTCTGGCCTGTTTACCTAGCAGCCCTCGTGCGGGGCTCCTCACCGAGAACAGGAGAGGATCAGCCTGCAAAGCGAGGAGACAGCCGCCCTGGGAAGGGTTCCAGAGGCAGCCAGATAGGACAGGGTCTTCAGGAGGGGCAGCGACCACCCTGGCTGGGGCACCCCTTGCCCTCCAGGAGCAGATGACACCCTTGAGGACCAGCCCCCGAGGGCAGGGCCTGGCTGGTGGAGCAGGCTTCCCATCTGATTCCCCTTGGGGGATCTCTGCGAGGGAGGCATTCGCCAGCCTGAGCTCAGAGAAGCTGAACCCTGGACAGCAAGTGTGAAGGAGAAGGCACCAGCGGCTGCTCTCACAGGGGTGGAGCCTGAGCACCCCGAGGGCTGAGGTTTGGGGCTGTCCCTAGAGCAGGAAGCAGCCTGGGGCGTGGGCCCCTGGTAAAGAGAGGCAGACCAAGCGAGGAGGAGCCAGCCACAAGCTCCTCCCCATACGCTGGCGCTGCACTCGCAGGACATCCTGCCCACACGCACACGCAGGCGCGCACACGCAGGCGCGCACAGGTACCCGACACCTCTGCCAGGACCCGCAAAAGGCGGGGAAACTTGAGGGGAAGCAGGTTCCCAGGTTGGAGAGCAGCAGGGGAGGGATGGGAAGAGGGGCACAGCCCAAGTCATCCGGCAGCCCTGTGCAGGGCAACAGGCTTGCGAAGGAAGCCAGAGGGGCTGGGGCTGCCCTGTGGAGCTAGAGGCACGAGTGGAAGGCCTGGTGTGACCTGTGACACCACACCCTGCTCTCTCCTAAGTAACGAAGCTGTCAGACCTAGGGATAGAGACAAGGCCCACAGCCAGGTGCTGGCACAGGGAGGTGGCAGCCCCTAAGCAAGCCACAGGGTGGGGCATGGAGACCTGCAGCCAACCTTAGACCGAGGTGCAGGCAGGGCTCGAGCCGACGCCGTTGGTTAGTGCACTGCAGCTGCCAGGGCTGTTGTTTGTTCCTGCATTCACTGGAGTTTTTTTAGTTAATACTTCTTTTAAATTATTTTTTGTTTTACTTTTCATTTTTCTTTCCTCTATTTTTTCCCCTTTACTTTCTCACTCTCTTTCTCTGTTTGTTTGTTTGTTTGTTTGTTTGTTTGTTTGTTTGTTTGGGACAGGGTCTTGCTATGCAGTTCAGACTGGCCTTGAGCTCACTTAGTATCCCAGGTTGGTCTCGAACTTGCAACAATCCTCCTGCCTCAGCCTCCTGAATGCTGGGATTATAGGCCTGCGCCACCATGCCCAGTTCTGGGGTCCGTGCAGTGCACCAGGGTTCTGGGGTGGCATGGCCCATGACACTAGGGATCAAACTCAGGACCTTGCTCTTGCCAGGCAAGTGCTTATACTGCTGAGCTATCTCCCTGGTCCCATTTTTCCCCTTTTCATTTCCTTCTATTCCCCCTCACTTCTCTTTTTGTCTCCCTTCTTTTCTCTCCCGTCCCTGTCTTCCCTCTCCTCCTTCCCACGTGACATCCAAAGCATCCTAGGAGGCACCTGTGGGTGCAAAAGAGGCTAAGAAACAACTGGAGCTGCCACCGTAATGTTTCCCTTCCAGGGTGTGTCAGGGTGGGCCCTGAAAGCTGTGCTGAGGGGACCCAGACTTCAACTACCGACACATTAATAGGTCAGGACCACCTCGCGGGCTCCTTGTCTCTAATACCTCTGCCCCCATCCCTCCCCCCCCAAGTCTCTCTCTACCCCCTCAGCACCACCCTCCTCTAGCTACAGAACTAACCCCAGTGTCGCCTGAACTCCCATTTGTTTTTTACCTATTGATATTTTCCTCTCTTCTTCCTGCCTTACTCCCTGCCTTCTCCTCTTTTATTTTCCTTTGCTCCTCCTCCTTCTACCTCCCAGGCTGGGCTGGCTGTTGACAGCACTCTTGTTCATTCTGTAAGTGACCTTGATAAAGGGTAAAATGATGTATGTGACTGATCTGGGGCTAGATCTGTCGACATTGTGACATTTGTAGGAATTCTCCCTTTGCATCCCCGAGTTCAAGCCTTTCACACTTAGTACATTGAGAAGGTAGCTAAGACCAAAAGTGAAGAAAGCCAAGGTCACATCACTGCTGATCAGCTGCTGGCTGAAAGGATCTCCGTACCAGCCAGCGTCTTTCCACGTGGTTGTTCCTCAGCCTTCAGAACAACAAGAAAACAGAATACCTCAAAACCTCCCAGTTCTGTCCAGGCACCTGGCAGCTGTGGTTTACAATGCAGTTATGGCCAAGTCCAAGAACCACACCACGTACAACCCATCCTGAAAATGGCACAGAAATGGCATGAAGAAACCTCAGTCACAAAGATACGAATCTCTGAAGGGGGTAGATCCCAAGTTCCTTAGGAACATGCATTTTGCCAAGAAGCACAAGAAGGGCTTCAAGAAGATGCGAACAGACAGTGCCAAGGCCCTGAGTGCATGCGCCGAGGCTATCAAGGCCCTCGTCAAGCCCAAGGAGGTCAAGCCCAGGATCATCCCAAAGGGAGTAAACTGCAGGCTCACTCGACTTGCATATACTGTTCTCCCCAAGCGTGGGAAG